TCCCTCCCTCCCTCCCTATCTATCTATCTATCTATCTATCTATCTATCTATCTATCTATCTATCTATCTATCTTTGCAAGGCTCACACAGCTCCTTCAAAGGCTGTTCCTGGCGCTCTGTACATGTGTGCCTGCATAGGCACTATGTTTTGCTAACTGTCCCAGCAGAAACGTTATCTGTGAATGGACATGCAGAAAATTAGAGCCAACCTTCAAACCAACTGTGTGGCCTTGCAAAGGATGCAGATTGCCTTAACACTTTGAAGGGAGATGCTTCATATATGCCCTGCAAAGCACTTCTTCGGAAAGCTTTGCATAACCCTATGCGCTATGTCACTACATCTTAGTCCACTTCTTCCAAAGTAAAGCTGCGTTCTAGTAACTCACCATATTATTTGGCAGCTTGCCAAGGATATGATCAGTTGGGAGAAGAGAGCATGCAAAGGTCATGCTATATGCCATATCATTATGCTCCTTTCAGCTGTAATTGTCATTTGCCTCTGATAGAGGTCTGGAAATCCAATCACACTGAGAAAAGGTCACCTTCACCCATTCTCCCTTTCAGCATGGTAATGATGGGAGGGATTGGAGAGCATTGGGTATCTGTGACGGCCTGAATAGGTTTTAGGCCTTAGGCTGCCCATATATGCCAAGACATAGAAGTGTCCAGGAGATAACACCATTAAGAGTTTTCTCTCTGAAACAGAATGGATTACAACACAAGGTTGTTTTTCCTGCAAAAAGGAAACGATTTATCATTCTTGCCTCCATTCCTCCTGAGGGTCCCTCCTGCTAGTTATATCTGATGCAACCTAATATTTTGGCTATTACTACTACTATCGCTGGTCGCATAGTCAGCCAGATATTTAAACTGGATTTGGCATTTTAATCCACCTATCCAGTCCTTCCCAAGGACCTGGGATAGGCAGATGTTGTTTGACAGTGTTAAAGGTATTGTCACAGGATATAAGCTGTTCCAAGTAAAGCTGCCTTTTGCAACTGA